TAGTATTAATGAAGATAAGGCTAGAATTATGCAAGTGTAAGGCCAACAGAAAGTTGAGTAGTATGTAGGTCGAATAACGGATGAGCTCAAAATGCAACGTTACAATTTCGCTGGTCACAATTTCCAGATTCATAAATTCCAGAACCCCCCAAGGGGGAGACTTATGTTCAGCAGTGGATAGATCAAGGCTGATATGATGATGATGATGAAATTTTGCTTCACAAATCAAATTAGTTCAATTGTGACAAAACACCAATGAAAAAAAAGTGACATATAGACATATAATCCTATTAATATTATAAATGAGAAATTTTGTAACGATAGGCGGATGGATGGAAAAAAATTACAGGATACATGTATAACTATAGGATAGTAAAACTACAGGATGCTCTTTTTAGGGCAAAGCAAAAAGCTGAGTTGTGGCCATTTTGTATGACTGTGGCACACGCATAAAGAAAAAAAAATTGTTACTCATTTTATGCAGAATTGTTGTTGTTTTTTGTTTTTTTTTTTTTTAGTTTTTGTACATGTATCTTTTTTTATCTTTTTTCACTTTGCATTTGTGTCTGTTGCTGTAAGTGATGCAAATAAATTATCTATCTATCTATCTATACAACTAGTATGAAAATATTTTAGATCGCGCTCTAACCGCGTCTAGAAGCAAATTTTGCTTCGCAACAATTGAATTGAATTAAATTTATTACTAAAAATGTGGTACAATAATATGATAATGTAATAATATTGTAAAAGTTGCTTTCACACATTTTATCATTGGTAATATGCAACTAAAAAAAAATATATATATATATATATATATATATATATATATATATATATATATATATATTATTTCTTATTGCATTCCATAATATAATTAGTTCATAACGTTTCAATTATGGACCCTGTTGGGCACAGCAAGTAGGAGAGAGGAGGAAAACACTTTTTTATATATATGTAGGTTATATATATAAATATATATATAACCTACACCCAAATATTATTTTCAATGTGTTTGATTGATTACATTATTACAATTTTATCACTAATAAATGAAAACAATAACAATACAAATTAAAATAATAAACAATATTCAATGTAGTCTATGCTTATACGAATTTTCAAACATTAATTCCATTGTAAAAAAAAAATTCAATCAACAAGCAGCCGCTTATTTTGCAAACAAAACCGGGTACTTCAATCATCATAAAATTAATACGACATCAACACGAGAAAAAATCTTACAAACTGTAAAAATAATTCTCAAAATCAATTCAGAAATGCACAGTATAGATACAAAAAAAAATTGAGACAAACTGAAGATACCCCCTTCTTTCGTGGGGGAGAAAGGGATTGTTAGCAATGGAGTTCGACCTCCACGTGGTTCCCCCTGGAAACCATCGTGAACAATTCTTATTGAATTCGTCACGATGGGCTAACTGACCTGCTTCATCCTCATCTATCATGCCTCATTGGTGCCCCGCCGGTGTATACCAATAACGCCGGTGGGGTTACCATTCCATTATCACCCATTAAAAAAAAAACCCTTCTTTCGGAAGCCGCTTAAACATAAAAACAAACGAATCATTAAGTCCAATTGATCGGCCGTAAGCATGAAGTAAATAGGTAGTAATTATTTAGTACCTACCAGACAATTTTGGGCACGCAATGAAACGATAGACAAAAACGCAATGCCTATTATTTCACGCTGGTATGGTACACAACGAACCCGTTCATTGTATTCTTTCTGTTCGGTGAAATGTGAAAGAGACGGAGCTATACTAGTTTGGGTGTAAAGGAATGCACATACCTCGATTTCGTTATAAAAAACAGGTATATTTAGTGTTGAAGATTTGAGAGATAATAATATAATATTGGGAGTGTAAGGTAGTATAGACATAGCGCGTGATCGACTGCCAAAGACATCAAGTGTATTTTGCTCTATAAAAAATCAACGATTGAAGTAATCGTGACAAAACACAGACGAATGAAATGTTTCGTAGACACATTAGATTGAAAATATTTGGATTAAGAACGCGGAATTATGTATCTGCAAGTGGGAGTAGATTTTGCTTCGCAGCAAACAGGATTTTTCTCTGCAAATGTAAACTGCGACAAGTATATCAAATTAATAACCACGATAACATCGAAACGTATTAAAATATAAGAGAAATAAACAAAATAAACAAAGTATTTGCAAAGATATAGCGTAACAGAAAGTACAGACGAATTGGGAAACTCCTTTTGAAAGTTGCAACATAACACATTGAAATATCTATCGCACAATACAAATGGAAAACCGATTATTTTTTTAATATTTTACTCAATCAAGTGTTACTTTATGGTAGTCCATATTACTGGTTAACAGTAATGGAATCAAACAAAATAATTCGTTAATATAATTATAAAAAAAATAATTATAGATTGTGTTCCACAAACAAAAAAAAAACTGCTTTAATTGTGAAACAAACATATAAAAAAATAAAACCGAATTGAGACCTCTTTCTATTTGAATTGAATAATTGGTTGAAAAATAAATAACCTTAAGGTTGTCTTGAAAAGATTGCTCTCAGCAATAAGACCACCTTACTGTACTTATACAATTGTATCGTTGTGTTTGTAAATTGCCTTACTTATTTCCCATATTGTATAATGCAAATAAAGTATACTCATTCATTCATTCATTCAAATAATAAGAATAACAATAGAATTAACATTATACCTTACCCTAAAAGTTTCTGTAATTGTTATATAACAAACCGTGTATAATTAAAAAAATAATTACATACAAATTAATAGATCAATAAATCCACCGGCCCCGACTCTTGCCCGTTATAAACTACCACGTGGAGCGACTTTATTATTGAAAAGGTAAGATTTAATTATATATGTATATTAATTATGTACTTACATTTACTACTGTCAACACTGGAATTTACCTACATATTAATGTCAACAAGTATATTTTGCGCCGCAAAGTGACAATTATTATGAGACGACACGGAAATAAGAATCTATAATGGTTCGAAAAAGAATGATCAAAATCTTTACTAATTGGAAAGAACTATCAGTAGGCTATCAACTAATAGCAGGCTCTCCTATCTCTTGCATTGAAACTACTCAATGATATTTTGAGCCAGTATTCGCAATTGGATGTATTTGCCTCCAACTTGCTGGAATTTCGTCGAGTGACCACAGAGTATTTGTGTTCAGACGTTTTTTGTTTCAGTTAAATCTTTTTATATTATTTTTTGTTTAATATTCCTTTTTATATGTTATTGTACTCATGCTTTCCTGGGTGAGCGTATTGGAAGACTGTAAAGCTCACCCAGTGGATGTAATAAATTAATAAATAAACAATAATATAAATATGAATGTTTGTTTGTTTGTTACGCTATACGACTTAACGGCTCAGCCGATTACTATGAAATTAGACATACACGTGCTATAAGGGATGGAGAATAAAATAGGCTACTTTTATCCCGGTCAGTAAACATATTCTAGTAAGGTGGACGAAGTCGCGGGTAAAAGCTAGTTGATTATAAAATTTTAAATTTGCTATCTATCACATAACATATACACAAGTACGTTTTGCTCCGCTAAAAAAACAGTGACTTCAATATTGATAAAATATAAAACCAACACAATTGTAAAGATCGATAGTGAATGGATAGCAAAATGAAATCGATTCTACGATTTAGAATTTTCGAAGTCATTGAAATTTAGAATTAATTTAGAATTTTTGAAGAAAACAACGGTAGTATTAATCGTAACTAAATTAATACTTACTAATAAAGTCACTAACTATTCTTATTTTAAAATGTTTTTAAGTTAAAATCCAGGTTACACACTGGGCCAAAAAACGGGACATACTTACGTATACCCTATACTGATATTTACGTGTACGTATAGGTAAATATGCACTTATTCTTGATAAACATTACCCTAATTTCTTCGGCAGTTGGCAATTAGCGTTTTATACTCTTACGACTACCATTTCCTACCTATTTATTAATAAGTTATCTTAATGCCGACATCGAGTTAATTCATTCACCAGTACAGTTGGGGGACTGTGGGAGAGAATACCGGTTCCCGAAACAGGCGCTCGTGACTTTTTTTTAGCCGCAGACGTGTGACGACGTGTTGAAGTTGAACGCCAGACGGCGATGACGGATCGCGACCACGTACGTATTCGTTCAAAATAGGATCATTTTAGGACTTTTGGTAACTCTTCAAATGTAAATCGTGGATTTGTCTAAAGCGCTTCACATACAGGGATGCTATGATGTTTTATTTTAAGATAAAATGTCGCTCAACATATAATTAATTAAGCAATCACATACAGCGAAATTAAACATATATTTTCATCTATCATATATATATATATATATCATATATATCATATGAGTCATATAGATGCAAAGATAGCAATATCCAGTTTTACCGAAACGGCAGCAAACAATATTTATGGTTTAAAAGCAATGTAGTTACTATAGGATAATTTTTTAAACACTCAAGTTTAGAGAATTACATGGTTATCACAAAGAATAGTTACAATATCATAGTAATATCAACATGTTCCGAGAAACTGCATATATAATTAGGATGTTTCTGTTTCTGCGTCTAACTCGTGGATGTTGTTATCTTTGCAGCTAAATCTCCGGGATGTTGCTGTATTTGCAATCATAAACTTTAGATCATAGTTAATCTAAAGAATTTTGATACTTATCTAATATATTTTTTATTTTTCACCTTTTATATATATATATATATATATATATATATATATATATATATATATATATATATATATGTGTATATATATATATATATATATATACATATATATACATATGACATATACGCCATAACATAAAAAATAAATTAAAAATAAATATACCTGCACTAAAGTTAACTTATGTACTTTGTCAAAATTTTTATTTTGAACTTGTTATTTAGAAAATTAATTAGAAATGGTAAAAATACAAATAATACTACAACTATAATTATTATTATTATTTATTACCTCCAATTATCATTAAAAATTATTAAACATGCATATCATCTATTTCCTCATATTCTTCACATTCTGCATCATATTCTCTATCTTCATTTTCTTCATTTTTATCAATTCTTTCCAGTAAGGGTACAAAAAAGGACAAATCCTCATTTTGTTGCCAGTCATTTCCCCAATGACTTGTAAGCAAAGTCAATATATCTTTTTTTTTACTGCTTGTTATGTAGTTTGAAACATTAATTTTTTGTGGATTTATCATGGAGATTGTTTTATTCCTTTTACAAACGTTTCTAGAAACTCCATCATCATTTTTATAGTGTAGATGTCCTTGGATCAAAATATTTCCAGGTCTTTTTGAACGTGTTAATATGAAACGCTTGCAAAGTTTAAACTGAAAATGCCAGTTACCGACGGGCTTAAAGACTTGCTGCGCAGCAGTCTTCCAATCAAATACTTCAACGTCAGTTCCTAAATTGTTAACTGTGCTAAATTTTGAAATAATATTCAAGTATTGTTGAGGGCCGCTAACCACTTCATGTTTTCTTAGTTGTTTTTCTATTTGGGCAAACACCCTATCTGGGGGTATGTACGAATGTCCAACCACAGGAAAGACAAGCTCTATTGCCTTGACGTTTTGTGGCGCTTCAGTCAACCATTTAGATAGCATTCCCAACATTATCGTATTTTTATTTTGACCTGCGCATCCATCTGCAGCAAGTCTTATTATTTCTGTGGATGACAAGTCTGTATTTTTCAACCTGTGGTAAACGGCTGAAGCTATTTCATTGGCTGCTTTGGGAAATTGGTTTTCGGTCCAACAGTAAGCAAACACATTTTCAGAACGCAATTTACTCTGTGAAGATCCCTCTACTATGGTGAAATTATACAAATAAATATTTCTCAAATAGTATGCAACCTGATCAGGTACTTTGAGCAGATTAAGATTTTTTTGACAATCATACGAGAAAGTCTTTAGTTTAATTTTTTCTTCTTTAACTTTTTCGAAAAAAGCTTTTGCTCGCAATTTATGTAGTCTTTGGGCCACTATTAAATTATTTCTTCTACTAACGTCTTTCTCGCGTTTCATTTGCTCATTGAATTTTAAACAAGTTGCACATACATCAGTTCGAGGAGTGCCAAATGAAAGATTATATTTTGTATTGAATATATGCCTGAAGTAAGACTTCTTTACTTTTAGGCTATCGACAACTTCAGCATTATATGCGTGGTGTAATTTATTTATAGATAATTCTGATGACAAATAATACCTTTTAGTATTTCCTCTACAATAATGTGGTTCTTGGCACGGTATTTTATTAATAAAATTGATTATAGCCTCTCGTTTTGCCGCATATTTTATTGAAATACGATCGCCTCCTCTTTTTTCAGACAATAGTTTTCCAGTCTTATAATATTCTTTCAACACAGTTTGAACTCTATACTTTGTAATTTGTAAGACTGTTAAAAAATAACGTTGACACACTTGCACTCTTTTCTTTAGCGATTGACAATAAATATAAAATTTTGTTTGAAAGTCTTGCTTTCCATATTTTGATTTAACAGGACGGCGACGTGATACAGTACAAGGGGTACAATGTTTTAAAATATAAGCATCCTGTTTTCTTTTATCTGGATCTGCATAAAAATTATCATAAAATAGCTTCACATCTTTCATAGATAGTGTCAAACATCCAAAATTTTTCTTGTGCCGACACAGTAACCTTCTTGGAAGAGTCTTTGGAGAATACCTAAAACATAAATACAATTCTACAATTTATGAGAATTTCACCAATCAATCGAATCCGAGAAAAGCTTTATGCTAAATTCATTAAATTTAGTTCAGTAGTTTAGACATGAAAAGGAAACAAGCTCACTTTTACATGCATGATTTAGGTTTTTTTTTTTATTAAGCAGTATATATCTCGTAATTTTTTTTATAATATTAGTGCAATTGAATTATCAAGCCACCACCGTACCGAAGGTAAGCGGTCATCGTCGTCTATGGTATAATCCCTTATATCAATTGCAATAAAGGATCAAAAACAATCAATCGAACTACAACTTACCGCTGCTTTTTAGCTATATTTCTCTTCCATTTATTGGGGTCAGCTTGCCTTTTTCTACTCGACTTTTTATCACAAGGGGTAGGAAAATTCTCCATTGTGTTGGTTTTTACAATTACTGACAAAAATAATATCTTTTTCGTATTTAATTTTCAAAAATAAAAACAGTACAGAAAAACTAACAAACTGCAATCGCCATACTAAATCGAGTAACATGGTAGCCAAATACAGATACCTGATTGGTCAAATCGGATGTTGCTGTCTTTGGTATTACTAAAGTGGATATTACTGTGTTTGCTACAAACCTATATTTTCTACGGTTATTTTAGACATGATGTTACTATTTTTGCTACAAACTTATTAATTCAAATAATAAACCTGATCTGACACTGACACATTATATTCAAAGTCGCTAGTGTTGAAAAATAGGATGTTGCTGCCTTTGCATCTATATGACTCATATATCTATATATATATATCATATATATATATATATATATATATATATATATATATATATATATATATATATATATATATATATATATATATATATATATATATATATATATATATATATATAAAATATGCATCTTTGCACATTAAAACATCACCAAACCCTAACTGCGTTTGCCAACCTGCCTGCCAAGCGTGGCAACTACTGGCAAAACTGCACTTATGGAGGCCATCTATATCCAGCAGTGGACAGTTAATGTCTGATATTATAAATAATAATAATTAATTGGCCAATTAAAAATCAGAATCAATTTGTATGCTATCTAATAAATCTAATGGTAAAATAAGTCATATTACTCATATACATTCTGAATCGTATAGATTTAAACATAAAAGTACGCACAATACTTAGAGACTGAAAAGATTTCGTATCTTATCTTTTTTTTTACAACACAGGGGACAAACGAGCATGCGGCTCACCTGATGGTAAGTGACCACCGCCGCTCATGGTCACCCACAACACCTACGGCATTGCAGGTGTGCTGCCGGCGTTTGTATGAAACCCTTGTATGCTACAATATTTTAATTTAATATATCGTAACAGAAAAGCCCTTTTTATTTAATGTGATAATGTAATGGTAACCTGCCTGCGCTATCGGTATACACTAGCGGGGCATCAGTAGTAAATAAGTGAGAATGAGTGCAGGTCAGTTGGCCCACCATGATGAATTCCACAAAAATTAACCATGACGGTTTCCAGGGAGAACCGCGTGGAGGTCGAACTAAGAGGGTATAATGCTAGTAATGGGGCTATTAGACCTCATTACTATAACAATCCCTTTCCCACCAGAAAAGACCACTGACACATGGGTTACAGACATAAAAGCAGCAGGTGCACTTTGGACAAGGATAGCCGAAGACAGTATAAAATGGAAGACTCTGGGAAGGCTTTTAATAATAACAATCTTTAATAAAGGCAACCAGGGCCCACAAAATTTTAACAATATTAATTTGCACCAACAATATAAATTATTAAATCAAATTTTAAATTACTTTTCTTTTTACATTTATAAATAAATTTCATAATTATAATTTACTTATTATTTATAGTTTTTATTGTTTCTGACTATAAAAAGCCCACAGACTACTCGTGTAAAAGGACGTACATAATGCTCTAAAAAGAGTGATTTTGACGTCCCTCGAACAACGTGAAAACCTACGAGCAATTATGTTGGCACTCACAGACAACGCCCTACGCTCTTTCTCTATGTCCATATCGTCTCTCAGGTCAGAGGTCAACATATGACCAAGGTATTTATATTGTTCTTTTTTTTTTTTTTACAACACAGGGGGCAAACGAGCATGCGGCTCACCTGATGGTAAGTGACTACCGCTGCCCATGATCACCCACAACACCTACGGCATTGCAGGTGTGCTGCCGGCCTTTTAAAAAGGAATATGCTCTTTTCTTGAAGGTTATGTTGTCGTATCGGTTCGGAAATACTGCTGCTGGAAGTTAATTCCAAAGAGTGGTTGTGCGTGGGAGAAAATGCCTTGAAAAACGCACGGTGGAGGACCGCCACTTGTCCAGATGGTTGGGATGAAATTTTAGTTTAGTCTACCTTATATAACGGGGTATTTGTCTTTTGCCTTCGGAGAAAGGGGTGACAAAACAGTTACTGATTGAGTAATAATTTTATTAAATTATATATTATGTTACTTCTTTAATAAACACTTGTATTATTATTTTTATTACATTGCAACATAAAATATAATAATATAGCAGCTGCAGCAGACAAGCGTTTTTGTAAGTGAGCTCATAAAATTATAGTTATAAAAATGTGTGAAAGTACACGAGTGTTTTCTAACATGTAAATTCCAAACTCCGCGACGTACCCACGATCTCTAGCGGGGGGAAAGGGAATCATTATGATAGATATGAGCTGTTTGGGCAGAGTCCTTTGCCGTTCCCTTTGGAATAAATAGAAATAAATATTTTCATCAAGAACACAATCAAAAGATTTCATTAGCCATAAAATCCATAAAAAGAAAATTACTACTTTCATCAGATTAGGCTGTATGGGCTTTGTTCTCTTTGCCTAACCTACAAAGGAAGGGGGGAAGGGATTGTTAGTAATGGAGACTGAGAACCCCATTGCTAGCAATATACCCAACCAGGCCGACCTCCTTGCGGTTCCCCCGGGAAACTATCATGGTTAATTCCTGATGAATTCATCATGATGGGCTAACTGGCCTGTTTTTATTCTCATCTATCACCTTTCACTGGTGCTTCGTCAGCGTATACCGTTAGCGCAGGCGGGGTTACCATACCATTTTAACCCATCAAAAAAAAACCCACGATCTCTAGCATCAACTTAACATTTTCAACTTAAATACTGAGTAAAAGGTAATTCATTAACTTTTTTCCGCAACATTCAGTATGTATGTTTCAATATGTATAAGTATAGATACAAAATATCCTTTGTCTTAAGTTAGTAGTTAATCTAGCCGCTTATCAAATTCCATTCAAATCCCTTCAAGCACAATTTAGTAACAAACATTTAAACAACCCAACATCTAAGATTGGGTAATATATACCAATAGGGGGGAAAAGGATTGTTAGTCTAATAAAGGGTCTAATGAACCCATTGTTAGCAATACACCCTATCAGGTCGACCTCCACGCGGTTCCCCCTGAAAACCATCGTGGTTATTCTAGTGTAATTCGTCACGATGGGCTAACTGGCCTACTTTCACCGTCACCTATCATCCCTCACTGGTGCCCCGCCGGCGTATACCGATAGCGCGGACGGGGTTACTATATCATTATCACCCATTAAAAAGAATATATACCAATATCTATATATTTCACTTACAATACTTATATATTGGCCAAATAATAGATATATTAAATATATAATACTGAAATAAAGAAACCCATTGAAATGAATCCGGTTGATACGGGCGATATCGAAATGGGAGACGACCTTTTTCAACCCTTTAAGCCAAAAAAAAATTATATTTAGATATCGAAGCAATACCGATGTTATTCTTGTCTTTGAAACGTCCTTACAATTTGAGTAATTCTAATATAATATTAGCATGATTATTAAGTTCCATTTATATATAGGGTTCAACTGCTATTCTAATCTTTCTAATTGAACGAACGTCGAACGGTATTAATAGTAACCGTATTGTTAAATTTGGCAAATCTCAGCTTATTGTATTTTCTAATAGATATAAATGCGGTTTTCGATCTTGGAATTTCGCTTACAAGACCTTGAATACAGTTATAGAGATCCAAAATTCACTGCAGTATACCTATTCTGTGACATCACCATTTCAACGGCGAAACGTATGAATGGTTTCGATTTTGGCGAATTTTTACAGGCAACAGATTTTAAAATTAAATCCTTACTAATTATTATATCATTATTTATCAGCCGTTAACCATCCACTGCAGAACATATGCCTTCTCCATAAGAAGAGTTTTTCCAGTAGTTGCCACACTTGACAGGCGGATTGGTAACCGCAGTTAGGCTTTGGTGACGTTTTAAAAGGGACACTGCTGCCCGTTTCACTACCATTAAGTTCCCTCATAAAATCTTCCTTCTTAATAATTCTTAATATTATATATAATTAATATAATATTCTTAATAATAGTCTTCCTTAATAATTCCTAATTACTTGTTCTTAATCCTTACTAATAGGAATCTGATTTTGAATTTGACGACATTTTTGCATACAAAACAATTTTGAAAATTAATCCCTACTAAAACCGACAACATATTCGATCAAGTTATGAAAAAAACTGAATACGCCTTTGAAACAACGGTACGCGGATACCGGAGTCGCGCTAAGTACAGGTGTCAACAAATTACAGTTAACAATTTTGTTTTTTGGATTAAGGCATATAATTATTGAAATAGTGGACAAAGAATGAAATAACACCTGATGTACTCTCGTTGATAAATACTTTGATGGAATATAGATTAAAGTAACTGGGAAGTTGTAAAAACATATTCTTTGGTTATACCAACATAACTGTCGACAAAAAATTGTTACTGATACGTCTACACCCTGTAAGGTCCACTTCCAGCAGTTCCTCCTGGAAATCATCGTAGTGAAGTCCGAATGGTTTCCTCATGATAGGCCAGCTGACTTGACTTCTTTCTCACTAATAATCCATCACTAATCATTAACGCAAGTGAAGCTATACCATTTTCATTTCATCCATTGCTTCTTCTATAGGGTCATATTTAAAATTTTGCATATCTAATGATAATTATTAATTGCTTAATTATTCATTAGTTATAATTAAATATTTTAATCTGTAACAAATAATCTATGTACAACATGCCTCTATTATTAATAATCACCTATGATAACCAATAATCTCAACAATTGTTCGATCGATACGATACGATCGATATAGTAAATCAATTTGATAACTGATTATAGTTTTTCATGAATAATTGGCCCTTGACCACGGTCATTTATAAAAATAAATTGTCACAATTTTAAACAGATTTTGATGCAAATAATAACTTTTTCTCGCAGTGGGGTCCCGACATAGAATGGGTAACCCCTTCCTCTCCCGTGGATGTCGTAAGAGGCGAATAAGGGAGGGCGAGAGATGGGCAGCAGCATCCCTTTCAAAACATCTCCAAAGCCTAACTGCGGTAGCTTATGCGTCTGCTAAACGTAGCAAGTACTGGCAAAACTCCCCAAGTATGAGGCTAATGTTCAGCAGTGGACAGTTAAAGGCTGATGATGATGATGATTATTTATATATTACATCTATCGAAATGTTTTATTCCATTAAATCTTTTTTTTCTTTCCCATTTTGTAACTACATACATAGACATCATAAATAAAAATTTCAATTAATTAAAAACAAGACACAGCATTTTATCACTTGGATGTACAACTTGAAGGTGGTTTATTTGTACAACGGTTATCACCACGGGCATAACGAGCTGCGCATGCGCACAGCGACACAC